ATATGATGAGTCTGTACTTGTGATCCATCACTCCATTCATATTTTTTGGATTTGCATATACAGGGTGACTCAAAAAAATTAATGAATGCGTAAATATATTTTACTGATTTATTCAGAAACTACAAAACCGAATGCTTTGAAATCTTGCAGATGTTTTAAGGTTATAAAGAGCATAATAAATGTTTAGTCAAAATATATTTGCTTATCCCCTCCAAAAAATTGATGACGTCAGCTCGAAAGTTTGCCGAATAAATCCTATCTAAACTGTAAAAATATGATGAGTCTGTACTTGTAATTTATCACTCCATTCATATTTCTTGGATTTGCATATACAGGGTGACTCAAAAAAATTAATGAATGCGTAAATATATTTTATTGATTTAATCAGGAACTACAAAACCGAACGCTCTGACATCTTGCAGATGTTTTAAGGTTATAAAGAGCATAATAAATGTTTAGTCAAAATATATTTGCTTATCCCCTCCAAAAACTTGATGACGTCAGCTCGAAAATTTGCCGAGTAAATCATAGCTAAAATGTACAAAATATGATCAGTCTGTACTTGTGATCTATCACTCCATTCATATTTTTTGGATTTGCATATACAGGGTGATTCAAGAAAATAAATGAAAGCGTAAATTTATTTTACTGATTTACTCAGGAACTACAAAACCGAATGCTTCGAAATCTTGAAGATATTTTAAAATTATCATAAGCATGGTAAATTTTTGATCAAAATGTATTTGGTCGTCCCCCCTAAAAAATTTATGACGTCACCACAAAATTTTGCTGAATAAATCCTATCTAAAATGTACAAAATATGGTGAGTCTCTTCTTGTGATTTATCATTCCATTCAAATTTTTTCGATTTGCATATACAGGGTGACTCAAAAAAATTAATGAATGCGTAAATTTATTTTATTGATTTAATCAGGAACTATAAAACCAAATGCTTTGAAATCTTGCAGATGTTTTAAGGTTATAAAGAGCATAATAAATTTTTAGTCAAAATATATGTGGTTATCTTCTACAAAAAACTGATGACGTCAGCTCAAAAGTTTGCCGAATAAATCGTATCTAAATTGTACAAAATATGATGAGTCTGTACTTGTGATTTATCATTCCATTCATATTTTTGGATTTGCATATGCAGGGTGACTCAAAAAAATTAATGAAGGCGTGAGTTTATTTTATCGATTTAATCAGGAACTACAAAACCGAATGCTTTGAAATCTTGGGAATATTTTAAAGGTATTATAAGCATGGTAAACTTTTGTTCAAAATGTATTTGTACATCCCTCCTAAAAAAATTGATGACGTCACCCTTAAATTTTGCTGAATAAATCCTATCTAAAATGCAAAAAATATGATGAGTTTGAACTTGTGATTTATCATTCCGTTCATATTTTTTAGATTTTCTTAAGAGGTGGTTCAAAAAAATTAATGAAGTCAATTTATTTTATTGATTAAATTAAAGGCAACACTTATTATTAGTATTACACCCCAACCAACCCAATTTGGTAGACACAAAATTTGTTAAAGGAAAAACTCGGTTGAAACATAAGGGTAGCACGCTTATTTACATCGACTTTAACATTACAGACCTGCATTTGTTTTATGCCGTCACTTGGTTCCGCGAATATGGAATAGACATGTTTATAATCAACCAATTGTGAATTTCACCGTCAAGAATTAAAATAAAACCCAATGTTTTATATAATAAGCGGAAGTCGAAGCAATAAAACCGATGGTCGTTTTGTTTACAGTTTCTCTGTTGGACTCTCACGTATGCTGTTACGCTTGTCATCTTAAATTAAGAATGTTTATACATAAACGATTTTCAGTTGCCTTTCATATTACCAGACAGCGGATTTTTGTCGGGCTACGTCACGTTTAATCGGTACTAATTCCATAAATATAATTAACGATTTATTAATCAAACGGCTAAGTAAATGAGAACGGGAATTAGCAGCAGAGTGCAACGAAACAGCTTTATTCTTATCTCAAATAAACGAAGTGCAGTCCGCAATCGCAATGAATTCGCATCCCGTACGAGCCGTACCGAGTTTGGCCTTGCCTAGCCCGACAGACATCCGCTCTATAGATATTACACACCGGCGCCGTATACCTGAGTAAATTGTTTCGTTATTTTATTGATTATGAGAAATCAATATTCAAAACGACCCAATTCATTTTCCCGAAAATTTGGGAATACAATAATTTTATTCTTAGTATTACACTACATCTATCCCAACTGATATACGTGTCCTTGCAAAAATGTTGATGACGTCATCACAATTTTTTTTTAAATTCCCACTACAAAAATGTAATGAGAAAAAAAAACATAATACGCATGCAGTCGTCAAGTTTCCGACAGCGAGGGAAGTACTGTCTAAACTCTTTAGACCAATTTTTTTAATATATGTAGACTTCTTTTCACAACATGATAGTTAAAATATGTTTAAAGTGAAAAATTTGTATAAGGAAATATAGATTTTGCATTTAGACTTCGCCCCATAATTGCAAAATCCACATTTCCTTGCGAAAGTATGTAATCGAGTCCGTCGGCCGACCCTCTACTTTTACGTTTTCTCGATCTTTCATGACCCCTAGAAGACGAAGAAATAGGTCTCCCATTTCCGTCTGTCTGTCCGTATGTCCGTTCATCTGTACGTCTGTCCGTCTGTCTGCCGTCCCGGATTTTTATTAGACAGATAATCTCCGAAAGTACTAGACCGATTGTTGTTAAATTTTGTACTTACATTAAGAATATCATGTAGATGGTAAAACGCTAACCAAAATTTGTCTAATCATCCCCACCACTAATGCGATGACGTCACTTCAAAATTGTACATAGTAAATGGGTCTTAAATTGTGTAAAATAACATAGTCCTACACATGTAGTTTACGACTCCGAATTCAGTTTTTACCCGAAACGTCCAGATTTTTGGAAAAAAAATCAAAATTATAAAACAACATTTTGCAATTTAATTTTGAATCTGCTAACCCGAATGTTTTGAAATGTTGCAGATGTTTTAAGGCTATAAAGAGCATCATAAATCTTTAGTCAAAATATATTTGGTTATCCCCTCCAAAAACTTGATGACGTCAGCTCAAAAGTTTGCCGAATAAATCCTATCTAAAATGTACAAAATATGATGCGTCCGTACTTGTGATATATCACTCCATTCATATTTTTTGGATTTGCATATACAGGATGACTCAAAAAAACTAATGAATGCGCAAAATTTATTTTACTGATTTACTCAGGAACTACAAAACCGAATGCTTTGAAATCTTGAAGATGTTTTAAAATTATCATAAGCATGGTAAATTTTTTATCAAAATGTATTTGCTCTTCCCCCCTAAAAAATTTATGACGTCACCAGAAAATTTTGCTGAATAAATCCTATCTAAAATGTACAAAATATGGTGAGTCTCTTCTTGTCATTTATCATTCCATTAAAATTTTTTCGATTTGCATATACAGGGTGACTCAAAAAAATTAATGAATGCGTCAATTTATTTTATTGATTTAATCAGGAATTACAGAACCGAATGCTTTGAAATCTTGGAGATGTTTTAAAGTCATCATAAGCATGGTAAATTTTTTATCAAAATGTATTTGCTCTTCCCCCCTAAAACATTGATGACGTCACTCCAAAATTTTGCTGAATAAATCCTATCTGAAATGTACAAAATATGATGAGTCTGTACTTGTGGTTTATCATTCCATTCATATTTTTGGATTTGCATATACAGGCTGACTCAAAAAAATTAATGAATGCGTGAATTTATTTGATCGATTTAATCAGGAATTACAAAACCGAATGCTGAGAATTTAAAGAAGACCAAAAGAGAAGCCCCACCCATCCATCTCGAACTCAATCGTGATGAATTTTTCATTCGATGTTAAACCTAGAGGAGGAGCCTAATTACAAAATCCATATATCCGCACAAAAATTTATCATTTTGAAAGTGTTTTACGTTTCTAAGAATAAAAAAATCATTACAATTGAGGTTTATACTTTGCCATTTTTTCTTAATGTACATAGTATTCTTTGAACAACACGATACTCAAAAATATGTTTTTAATTTCTTGTAAAGAAATACGTATTTTCAGTTAAGGTCCGCCTCCTTGGTTGACGGCGAATAAAAAAATAATCACAATGGAGATGGGGTGGGTGGGTGGGGCATAGATTCCGCCCTATAATTGCAAAATCCATATTTCCTTGCAAAATGTACCGTATTAATCATGTTTTAAGTTTCTTGTTGTGAAAAGATTCCTAAGTATGTATATTAAAAAAAAGACAAAATAAATGCCCCGCCCACCCGCCCTATCTCATTTCTGATGATTTTTTTTTAGTCGTAGTAAGCCGAGGGGCGGAGCTTAATTGTAAAATCTTTATTTTTCTACGACAAAAAAACAAGTTTTCCCTTTTTCTTCTCGATCAGTAAATAATATTGAACTCAGGTTTCTAGTGTTTCGGATTCTGATCAACTTTATTAAACTGTCAAAAATTTTCCTGTACATCTAACGTTACTTTATTATTATCTTTTTAATATTTTTTTAAAATATGTAGTTCAGTTAGCAATAATATATTTTTTTTAAAGTAAGAAAAGTATATTATATATCTTCAAAAATTTTAAAACAAATATATTTTATTTCATTCAAAAACAACAAAATAATTCAAAAATTTCTTTACCTGTAAATGCGTTCCTTAGTTTTTAAAAATTTTTATCGATTTTTGGACACCGTGCAAAAAACGATTAAAGAAATAGACGTCCTTGATCAATGTTTTGTTATTGCTTGTTTATATTGTTATCACTACGAGTAATATTTTTGTTTTTTTTTATCACAAACTATTACATTACAAACAAAAGAAAACGTTAATTCATATACGAACTGTTGTGGATGTTTTATATTATGTGTAAACGCATTTCATGGTTCGAGATTTTTCCCCACCAGCTAAAACGTTCCTTTAAAGTGACTGAAAAAAAACGAAAGGTAATGAAAACTCGAAATACTCGATTTCTTGGTGGTATCGTATTCTCGTTGCACCGATGAAGATCGTCAATTTCACTTTAAACTTCGACCCATTTTTGGGTGACCAAAGAGAGAGAAATTTTTGGGAACTGTTGTACCCGTTAGGAGGAAGTTTCATCATCTTGTCTTTACGCCTGTTTTTAGTCAAGTTGGTAAGTGTTTGGTTTTTTTTACAAAACTAACTGTGTTTTCGAGGTTTATATTCACCCGGGTTGGGGTATGGTGCGGACTCGAAAAAGTTACACCCAAGAAACCAGCACCCAACCCAGCTTTAGAAAAAGCGTATTCAAAATCAAAAAAATGGTCCGAACGTGAAGTATGTATAGAAAGCTAAATTTGACACCGGTTGTGACGCCCGATATCTTAGATTTTAGGTCTTTCTAAACAGATAGATGTGGACTACACGAAAGTAAACGAGTGGTTTAAATTGCGAGCAGCCCAAGACAAACCCTCCGTTTCAGACAAGTTCGGCAACAGTTGTTGGGAATTTTTCTACTTTACGGGTGCTTGCACTTGGGGTTTTTTAGTCCTGAAAGATAAACCGTGGTTGGTGGATTTTAATCAATGTTGGTACGACGTTTAGTTTTTTTAGTGACTTTGGTTAACCGCGATTTGTAGGACCGACCACTACAACCAAACCGTTCCCGATGACGTCTGGTGGTACTTCATGTTATGTTTCTCTTTCATAGGAGGGCAACTCCTTGGACTCGCTTTAGACATACCAAGAAAAGATTACTACGTCATGGTTGTGCACCATCTAGTCGGAATTTTGTCGTTACTGATTGGTTGGACCACTTATTTTTATAAATTTAGCACACTTTTTGTACTCGTTTCTGACACCTGCAATGTGTTTCTTGAGGTTGGTACCGAATTTTAGGTATGAGTCCGTCTAAACGGAAATGGTTTTCAGGCAACGAAAATTTGCAAATATTTAAACTTGCGCAAGCTCTCAATTCTTGTTTTTGTTTTGTTTACGTTGGTTTGGGTTTCTATAAGAGGAGTTATCCATATTTTTCTTTTGAAAAGGTAAGCTATATAGTACTCAAAATATTTATAACTTTATAACTTTTTTTTTTTTTTAGTATAACTTTGGACGCCCCGAAATATTTGCCCGCAGTTCGTAGTAACGTTCTTTATTATATTTTCATTTTTTGTGGTCTTGGGTTCGGTCTTATGAATCTTATGTGGACTTATTTTTTGGTCAAAGTTATTGCGAATTTTTGTAAAACTGGAGCCATGGAGGACGCCAGGTCGGACGTCGACGACTAAAATAAATACTTATCCATCTAATTAGTTCCCACAGTTTTACTCGTATACTATAACTTATTTTTGAAATTCCGATGCGACGTTGCCACATTATTCCAATTTTATTGCACTCACTATAGATTGATATTCAATTTTATTTACATCACGGAAAATTAGAATACCGTGGCAACGTCGCATCAGAATTTCAAAAATAAACTGAACGACGAGACCAAAAAAATTATACTGTCGTCACAACAAGGACAATTTTAAAGAAACTGGTTTATCTGTGAAATAAATAATACATCATACTAGTTTTTTAATTTTTAGACAATAAAAAAAATAATTTAATCAGTACAATGATTAGTTGATTACACTTCGGACACAAGAATTATAAAAGAAATCCATAAAATTAACGAATACAGAAATGTTATTAGTATTACGCTGCACCTATTCAAATTGGTAAACATGTCCTTGCTAAAATGTTGATGACCTGATGCTTATTTACCTTCTTTAATTCTGTCTAGGCAGATAATCTGACTACTGGCCTGATTGTTGTAAAATTTCATCACGATTGAGATCCAGACGGCTGGGTGGGGCTTCTTTCTCTTTTGGTTTTCTTTTTTAAGCTCCGCCTCCCGACTTACGACGAATAAAAAAATCACCAGATTTGAGATAGGGCGGGTGGGCGGGGCTTATATTTTCCTTTTGTTTCTCAATATACATAGCCATCTTTTCACAACAAGAAATTTAAAACATGGTTAAAGTGGTACATTTTTGCAAAGAAGTATGAATTTTGCAATAATGGGGCGGAGTCTAATTGCAAAATCGATATTTTTTTAGAGTATCGTGTTGTTGAAAGAATACTATGTATATTAAGAAAAAAAGGGTAAAATATAAACCCCGCCCACCCACCCCATCTCAATTGTGATGATTTTTTTTATTCTTAGAAACCTAAAACACGTTTAAATTGGTAAATTTTTGTAAGGAAACATGGATTTTGCAATTACGCTCCGCCCTTCGGTCTGACAACGAATGAAAAATTAATGACGATTGAGATCGAGATAGATGGGTGGGGCTTCTCTTTTGATTTTCTTTTTTAATTAATACATTCAGTTTTCTTTGTATAACACGATTACTTAAGAACATATTTCACATGGTAATTTCTCTCTAACTCTCTCTAACGTCAGATGTACAGGAAAAATTTTTGAGATTTTAATAAAAAATTAATCAGGATCCGAAAAACTAGAAACCTGAGTTCAATATTATTTACTGATCGAGAGGAAAAAGGGAAAAAATTGGTTATTTCTCGTAGAAAAATAAGGATTTTACAATTAAGCTCCGCCCCTCGGCTTACTACGAATAAAAAAAATCATCAGAATTGAGATAGGGCGGGTGGGCGGGGCTTATATTTTGTCCTTTTTCTTTCTTAATATACATATACATACTTTTCACAACAAGAAACTTAAAACATAGTTAAGATTTTACATTTTTGCAAGGAAATATAGATTTTACAATTATCGGGCGGAGTCTAATTCCCAAATCGATGCGAGGGAAGTTCTGTCGAAACAACTTTCGACCAATTTTTAAAAATTGCAATATTTCAATTGACGATTCTGGAAAACATTGGTTGGAGTTAAAAATAAAATTCGCAAACTCAAATTTTATAATTTTTCGAAAAATCTGGATTTATTTATTTTCCATCAACTTTTTGATATCATAATTTTTCGTTTTTCCTTTTTCTTCGATTTTGAATTTTCCATATCACAGTTTTTCGATTTTTCAGTTTCTCGTTTTTAATTCTTCGATTTTTCAATTTTTCGTTTCCTCAATAATTGAAGAATTATTCTTCAAGGTTGTGATTTTTGTTTTTCATAATCGCGATTTTTGATTTTCATTTTCTAGATTTCATATCACAATTTTTCCGTTTTACAATTCCTTTATTTTTTAATTTTATAATTAATTCTTGGCAAGTACTAGCCCCGCCCACCCACCCTCTATTTTCTTAGAAGGTATATGATTTGCCAAAATTAGTTTTATCTTAGCATGTACTAACCAAAAAAATTAAAAATTGAAAAATTGCAAATCCAAAAATCGTGGAAACGGAAACTTGATAAATCAAAAAAGTGAGAAATTCAAAATTGAAAACTCGCGAAATTGTAAATTGAAAATTTTCAAAATCTGAAAACTGAATCATCCAAAAATTAGAAAATCGAGAAAGTGAAAAACTGAAGAAAAAAATTAAAAATTGAAGAATTGAAAAATTCAAGCAAAAAATCGAGGCGAGGGAAGTTCTGTCGAAATAATCTTCGATCAATTTGTTGATATGTATTTCAATTTTTCATTTTTTCCAGTTTCTCGTTTTCAATTTCTCGGTTCCTTAATTTTTCAATTTTTTGTTTTTCATATGCTCGGTTTTTTGATTTTTATTTTCTCGATTTCAATCACAATTTTTTCTTTTTACAATTGCTTTATTTTTTCAACATTTCTTTCGATTTTATAATTTTAAAATTGAAAGATCGAAAAATTGAAAACTGGTGAAATTCTCGAAGAGTCGCTTATCTTAAAAATGAAAAAACAAAAAAAAAAGAAAAACAGAAAAATTGCAAATCGAAAAATTGAAGAAACTAGAAACTGAAAAAATTAAAATTCAAGAAACAAAAAATAAAATAGAAACACTGAAAAATCGAATAAGTGAAAAAATAACGAAAATATAAAGAACCGAAAAATTGCAAAATGTAAAAATTGAAAAAATCTAAAGTTGGAAAACCGAAAATTTTAATCTTGAAAACTCGAAAAATTGTAGATCGAAAAACTGAAGAAAAATATGAAAAATTGAAGAATTCGGAAAATCGAGGCAGGGGAAGTTCTGTCGAAATAATCATCGACCAATTTTTTGGTATTAGAATTTTTGGTTTTTCCTTTTTCTTCGATTTTTAATTTTCCATATCACAATTTTTCGTTTTTTCATTTTCAATTTTTCAATTTTTAATTTTTCATTTTTCGATTTTTCACTTTGTCGTTTTTAATATTTCGATTTTTCTATTTTTCGTTTCCTCAGTTTTTGAAGTTTTTAATTTTTGTTTTTCATATTCTCGATTTTTTGAGTTTCATTTTCGTGATTTCATATCACAATTTTTCCTTTATTTTTAAAATTTTTCTTTCGATCTTATATTTTTAAAATTGAAAACAGGTGAAATTCTTTCTTCACAGCCAATAAGAATGAATGATGAAAACGGAATAAGGGTGGGTGAGAGGGGCCCCCAAGTACTAGCCCCGCCCACCCACTCTCTATTTTCTTAGAGGGTATATGATTTGCCAAAATTAGTTTTATCTTGGCATGTACTTAACTGCAAAATACTTATTTCTTTACAAGAAATTGAAAACATGTTTTTGAGTATCGTTTTGCTTAAAGAATACTACGTATATTAAGAAAAAAGGGCACAATATAAGCCCCGCCCACCCACCCCATCTCAATTGTAATGATTTTTTTATTCTTAGAAACGTAAAACACGTTTAAAATGGTAAACTTTTGTAAGGAAATATTGATTTTGCAATTACGCTCCGCCCTTCTGTCTGGCAACGAATGAAAACTTCATCACGATTGAGATCGAGATGGATGGGTGGGGCGTCTCTTTTGATTTTCTTTTTTAATTAATACATTCAGTTTTCTTTGTATAACACGATTACTTATGAACATATTTCACATGGTAATTTCTCTCTAACTCTATAACGTTAGATGTACAGGAAAATTTTTTGACATTTTAATAAAGTCGATCAAAATCCGAAAAACTAGAAACCTGAGTTCAATATTATTTACTGATCAAGAGGAAAAAGGGAAAAAATTGGTTATTTCTCGTAGAAAAATAAGGATTTTACAATTAAGCTCCGCCCCTCGGCTTACTACGAATAAAAAAAATTATCAGAATTGAGATAGGGCGGATGGGCGGGGCTTATATTTTGTCCTTTTTCTTTCTTAATATACATAGCCATCTTTTCACAACAAGAAACTTAAAACATGGTTAAGATTTTACATTTTTGCAAGGAAATATAGATTTTACAATTATCGGGCGGAGTCTAATTCCCAAATCGATGCGAGGGAAGTTCTGTCGAAACAACCTTCGACCAATTTTTAAAAATTGCAATATTTCAATTGATGATTCTGGAAAATATTGGTTGGAGTTAAAAATAAAATTCGCAAACTCAAATTTTATAATTTTTTGAAAAATCTGGATTTATTTATTTTATATCAATTTTTTGATATTATAATTTTTTGTTTTTTCTTTTTTTTCGATTTTGAATTTTTCATATCACAATTTTTCGATTTTTCAGTTTCTCGTTTTTAATTCTTCGATTTTTCAATTTTTCGTTTCCTCAATAATTGAAGAATTATTCTTCAAGGTTGTGATTTTTGTTTTTCATAATCGCGATTTTTGATTTTCATTTTCTCGATTTCATGTCACAATTTTTCCGTTTTACAATTCCTTTAATTTTTTAATTTTATAATTAATTCTTGGCAAGTACTAGCCCCGCCCACCCACCCTCTATTTTCTTAGAAGGTATATGATTTGCCAAAATTAATTTTATCTTAGCATGTACTAACCAAAAAAAATTAAAAATTGAAAAATTGCAAATCCAAAAATTGAGGAAACGAAAACTTGATAAATCCAAAAAGTGAGAAATTCAAAATTGAAAACTCGCGAAATTGTAAATTGAAAATTTTCAAAATCTGAAAACTGAATCATCCAAAAATTGGAAAATCGAGAAAGTGAAAAACTGAAGAAAAAAATTAAAAATTGAAGAATTGAAAAATTCAAGCAAAAAATCGAGGCGAGGGAAGTTCTGTCGAAATAATCTTGGATCAATTTGTTGATATGTATTTCAATTTTTCATTTTTTCCAGTTTCTCGTTTTCAATTTTTCGGTTCCTCAATTTTTAAATTTTTTGTTTTTCATATGCTCGGTTTTTTGATTTTTGTTTTCTCGATTTCATATCACAATTTTTTCTTTTTACAGTTCCTTTATTTTTTCAACATTTCTTTCGATTTTATAATTTTAAAATTGAAAGATCGAAAAATTGAAAAGTGGTGAAATTGTCGAAGAGTCGCTTATCTTAAAAATGAAAAAACAAAAAAAAAAGAAAAACCGAAAAATTGCAAATCGAAAAATTGGAGAAACTAGAAACTGAAAAAATTAAAATTCAAGAAACAAAAAATAAAATCGAAACACTGAAAAATCGAATAAGTGAAAAAATAACGAAAATAAAGAACCGAAAAATTGCAAAATGTAAAAATTGAAAAAATCTAAAGTTGGAAAACCGAAAATTTTAATCTTGAAAACTCGAAAAATTGTAGATCGAAAAACTGAAGAAAAATATGAACAATTGAAGAAAATCGAGGCAAGGGAAGTGCTGTCGAAATAATCATCGACCAATTTTTTGGTGTTAGAATTTTTGGTTTTTCCTTTTTCTTCGATTTTTAATTTTTCATTACACAATTTTTCGTTTTTTCATTTTCAATTTTGCAATTTTTAATTTTTCATTTTTCGATTTTTCACTTTGTCGTTTTTAATATTTCGATTTTTCTATTTTTCGTTTGAAGTTCTTAATTTTTGTTTTTCATATTCTCGATTTTTTGAGTTTCATTTTTGTGATTTCATATCACAATTTTTCCTTTATTTTTAAAATTTTTCTTTCGATCTTATAATTTTAAAATTGAAAACAGGTGACATTCTTTCTTCACGGCCAATAATAATGAATGATGAAAATGGAATAAGGGTGGGTGAGAGGGGCCCCCAAGTACAAGCCCCGCCCACCCACTCTCTATTTTCTTAGAGAGTATATGATTTGACAAAATTAGTTTTATCTTGGCATGTACTTAACTGCAAAATACTTACTTAATAATTGTAATTGTTGTATGTTAAGAAAAAAGGGGCACAATATAAACCCCGCCCACCCACCCCATCTCAATTGTGATGACGTTTTTTATTTTTAGAAACTTAAAACACGTTTAAAATGGTAATTTTTTTTAGGAAATATGGATTTTGCAATTAGGCTCCGCCTCTAGGTCTGGCAACGAATGAAAACTTCAGTACTTTTTGGATCAGAGCAGGTATGGGTGGGGCTTAATCTTTATCTTTAATTTTTTCTTAATATACGTAGTATTCTTTGAACAACACTATACTCAAAAACATTGTTTTTATTTCTTGTAGAAAAATACGGATTTTGCAATTAAGCTCTGCCCCCTCATCTTACGACGAATAAAAAAAAATCATCAGAATTGAGATAGGGCGGGTGGGCGGGGCTTATATTTTTCTTTTTTTATTTTTCTTTTTTCTTTATACATAGCCATCTTTTCACAACAAAAAATTTAAAAGATTTTGGGTAGATTTTTGCAAGGAAGTATGGATTTTGCAATTATGGGGCGGAGTCTAATTGCAAAATTGGTATTTTCTTATACCAATTTTCCATTTTAAACATGTTTTAAGTTTCGTGTTGTGAAAAGAAATCTACACATATTAAAACAAAAAGGCAAAATGTAAGCCCGCCCACCCACCCAATCTCAATTGGGATAATTTTTTTATTCGCCGTTGACTAAGGGGGCTGAGCTTAACTGCAAAATACTTATTTCTTTACAAGAAATTAAAAACATGTTTTTGAGTATCGTGTTGTTCAAAGTATACTATGTATATTAAGAAAAAAAAGGCACAATATAAACCCCGCCCACCCACCCCATCTCAATTGTGATATTTTTTTTATTCTTAGAAACTTAAAATATTTTTCAAATGGTAAATTTTTGTAAGGAAATATGGATTTTGCAATTAAGCTCCGCCTCTAAGTCTGGCAACGCATTCATTACTATTTAGATCAGGGCAGTTATGGGTGGGGCTTATAGTTTGCCTATTTGCTTAATATATGTAGTCGTCTTTTCGGAACAAAAACTTAAAACATGTTTAAACTGGTAAATTCTTGTAAACAAATATGGATCTTGCAGTTAAGCCCCGCCCTTCGATCTGACAACGAATGAAAAATTCATCAGAATTGAGAATTGAGTTCGGGGCGGCTGTGGGTGGAGCCTAATCTTTGGCTTCATTTTTTTCTTGATATACATAGAGTATTCTTTGAACAACACGATTTTTTGCAGTCAAAAATCATCACAATAGAGACAGGGTGGGTGGGCGGGGCATATATTTTGCCTTGTTTTTCTTAACATGTGCAGACTTATTTCGACAACAACAAACTTGAAACATGTCTAAAATGGTAAATATTTGTAGTAATCAACTTAAATCCTCCACTTTTCTTCTACAACTCCTTTAAATACGGCAAAAGTTGACCATTATATTTAACGGCAACTTGGCAACGGAGTTTATAAATGACAATTTTCAGTTGAACTGACGTCAACAGCAAGTTTATAAATCCCGCTTTATACTTCTAAACTACCTGTTGGAAATGTATTGAAACGTTTTAAATTTACACAGATTAATATTTTTTTAACAAATTAATTCCTTAATTGTGATTAGTTCGTCGTTTAATCAACTGTTGTGCCATTTGCTGGAATATTCCGTAATATATTAGCGTGACATTTGAGCTTTATAAACGAAAAGTGGTAACCATTTCGGGAACAACACCTTAACTATTTTTGAATGCCGCCCCTGCATCAAAAATACAACAAAGCAAGCTTTGGCTCCACTGACGTTCCGTTGACAGGTCAGAATGACATAAATGGCGGAATTTCTTCGTACGCTGTGGGGCGAACTGATCTGGCTGTTAGCACCGGGTCGGAGAAAAGACCCCGAATTCCCCCATGTCTCCTGCGCGAACCTCCTCTACCCTCTCCCCATGGCCGTAGGCGTACTGTCCATACGTTACCTGTTCTTTAGGTTTGTTTTCGCAAAATGTACCACCTTAATCGAACCGTGTCCACCAGGTACTGCTTTAAGCCCTTGGGAGTGTACCTGGGAGTCAAAGACAAGAGAGCCAGAATGGCACCCCCAAATCGGGTGCTCGAACAGGCTTATGTTAAGTGGAAAAAAGTGCCGCATTCTGAAGTAATGTATATGTAATGTATATAAGCCGATTTTTTTCTTATTGTTGTTACGTAGATTGTAGGTCTGACCAAGCACATGGATATGAGCGAAAGACAGATCGAACGATGGCTGCGTCTGCGGAAGAAGCAGGACCGGCCTTCGGTTTTAATCAAGTTTTGTGAAGGTTGTTGGAGATTCACGTATTATTCGTGCATTTTCGTGTATGGCGTGGTGGTGCTGTGGGATAAGCCGTGGCTTTGGGACATCTCGCAGTCTTGGTACGAAGTCATCATCAGCTAGCTTTTCGGTCTAATTCTTCGTCGCAGGGTCGACTACCCGCACTCCCAGGTGGTCTCCAGCGGCCTCTGGTGGTACTACATGATCGCCCTCTCCTTCTACGTGTCCCTCTTCTTCAGCCAGTTCTTCGACGTGAAACGCAAAGACTTCTGGCAGATGCTCGTGCACCACATCGCCGCCATCCTCCTCATCGCCTTCTCGTGGCTGGCGGGCGCCTGTCGGGTGGGCTCGCTGGTGCTCGTGGTGCACGACTGCGGCGACATCTTCCTCGAAGCGGCGAAAATTGCAAAATACGCCAACTACCACCTCGTCTGCAGCGTCTGCTTCTGCATTTTCGCCACCTTGTGGATCATCACCCGCCTGGGCATTTTCCCGCTGTGGATCATTAAACAGTTGGGGATTTACTTGGAAGTTTTTTAGGATGATTTTATTTGTGATGTTTGCAGCACTCTAATCGACACCCCGGAGCTAGCGCCCGACTTTAACGCGTTTTATATTATTAATGGGATGCTGATAACGCTCGAGGTGCTACATGTTTATTGGACTTATTTGATTTTGAAAATTGCGGTGCAGGCGGCGGGGGAGGGGAAGATGCAGAAGGACGTGCGCTCGAGCACCGACGACGACACGAACGAGAACTGATTTTTCGGCATAGGTTGTGGTTTATTAAAAGTTAATACGCAAAAAAGTGTTTTATTTGACAGAGGAGTCCGATTCCTCCACGAAAGCAATCTTGCCAACTTAAATTTAAAAGCCGTGATTTTTTATCAAGTAATGCTTTAAGCAATCTTGAATGCTAATCAATGACATTTTGCATAAATATTGTCTGATAAGATTTAACAACCGTGGTACTACAATCGAGCTCGTGTAGTAGTCGACGAAATAGTACCCAGCCATGGTCAGTGTATTATCTCTATTGCTCTATCCCGTTCCAGGAGGTTTAGCATTTTTATGTGTCCGTTATCTACTAGCAAAGTTAGCAACAATGTCGTACCACGAAACCAAAAATTGATTACCTTTTTCAGATTTTTATTTAAACCTTTTGGTTTATGGTTCGGATTAAGAAATTCCAAACCGAAACAAGTACCACCGAATCTAGTTTTAGAACGAGAATTTTCTCAGTCGAAAAAATGGGACCACCACAAGGTTGTTGGTTTGTCCAAACAGCTAGATATGTCCCAGGAAAAAATCGAAGAATGGTTGAGTTTAAAGCAAGCCCAAGTCCATGGTTCGGTTTTAGACAAATTCTGTGACAGCGCCTGGAATTTTTTTTATTACGTGACGGAAACCACACTGGGGTTTTTGGTACTATGGGACAAACCGTGGTTGTGGGACACGGATGAGTGTTGGTGGGTTTTGTGCAAAATTCCAACCATCCATTGTTAAAAATGGCGGAGTTGCGAATTACTAAACATGGCCATGTTTTAGGAGAAATTTTTACTCTCAGATAGTTACAAGAGATGTGTGGCTGTATTTTATGTGGTGCTTAGCCTATGGGTGGTCACAGTTATTTGGTCTTACTTTCAATATAAAAAGAAGAGATTTTTACATAATGGTAATTCACCATGTGGCTTTTGTTACATTATTGACTCTGTCTGGGACGTATGACGCTTTCAGATTAATAACAATAACGATATTTGTATGTGACTCTACTGATGTACTACTCGAGGTTCAACATTGAAACTGTTGTTTCTTTTTACTTTAACCTCATGTTTAAGATTTCGAAAATAGCTAAATATTTGGGATACGAAAAGTGTGCATTTTACGCATTCTTAGTATTTACGTTCTGGTGGATAGTAGTTAGAGTGGTACTGTTTCCATGTTGGTTATCCAAAGGGTAAGTAGCTGATTTTCAAGCTTCTCTAAATTAACTATTAAATTTCAGCTTCATAGTGGACCTTCCAAGAATTTACCCATTTGTAACCGAAATGTGGATTTATTACGTAATAACCATTTTATGTTTCGTCTTTGGGGTAGCAAATCTTATCTGGACTTACTTCATCGTGAAAACATTGATCCAGTTTTGTGTTACCGGCACATCAAAAGATGCAAGATCTGATTGTGATGAATAAACTTAAACCTAAATCAACAAACTTACTGACTATTTGTTGTAAAAATAAAGATATGTTATCATTGTTCTTATTATTAAAAAAATATCCTCCCTTTGGCTACAAGTTACGAGACGCCACTGCTTCGTCGTACGTCAGAGAGTACCAAATAGCGACAGGCTGAGGTTTGAGCGAAAATGACCCACAACGACCACTTGCATAACTTTGTGAGTCGTAAAAAAACAACTACTACCACGACAATATTGAACATTTTATTGTAAATTAAAACCCCACAGGCACTCAAATATATCTAAATAGGAATAAAAAAACCCAAAATTGCACAACGTGAAAGCATATTAATCCGAATCCGACCTTGAATCATTTGGTTTACCGATAATAAATATGGCAATAGCGGCTTTTATGATAAAGTAGGTCCAAACCAAATTTATCATAAAGAATATCACATTTAGAGTGTTTACGGCATAGTAAACAAAAAGTGTATCTAAACCTGGTACAAATCTTGGAGCGTCCACCACAAACCTACAAAAAATGTTAATTTCCAACTAGTTCCAATCTTTTGTGATTCTTTGTACTTACGTTTTAATTAATCGGAACGGAACGAATGCCAACCTTACAATTAGCCACCACACTGTGAACATTAAAAAACCATAAACTGCTATTTTGGCATATCCTAAATAATGAGCCACCTTGGATAGCTAAAATTACTATTAAGTCAACAAACCGAGACTCGGGAGACAAAAACCTCAAGAAAAACGTCATTTGAATTGGCTAGAAACGCCGCTACTGTAACACCTCTGAAAATATTTGACCCTCCGCAAAGAGTCATCAGGGATATAAAGGCCAAGTGGTGGGCTACCATCAGAAGAAAATCTTTCCTTCGTACGTCTATAGTTACAGCGATGAGTTGTGACCAGGCACATGACGTGCAGAGTATGAAATACAACCACACATCTTTTGTGACAGTTTGGTTAGCAAGGTCTCGCCTGGAAGCAGAGAATGACAAAGACAAACATATATGTTACAAAATTGTAAACCTACCACCATTCGTCCGAGTCCCAGAACCATGGTTTCTGACACAAAACCACAAATCCAAATAAAGTTTCACAAGTGTAGTAACAAAGTTTCCACGAACTTTCAGAAAATTTTGTCAAAACCGAAGTCTTATTGTGGGCTAACTTTAGTCTTAACCAGTCTTTGATACTTTCTTCTGATATATCGAGTTGTTTGGACAACGCCACGATCTTTAACAGCAGAGTAGAAAAAAAAAAGAAAAAATCGACCAATACCTGACGCTGGTCCCATTTTTTCGTTAGCGAAAACTCCCTTTCTAAAACTAGATTCTCTGGGGGTTTTTTCGTTGGACAGTTTCTTAGTCCGAACCACAATCCAATGGGTGTGAATACAAACCTTAATGTGAAAAGATTACCTCTGCAATGCAATAAACGACAACGATAGTACCAACCTTACTAACAAAAAACGGAGCAACAATAAGCCAAAACATCCTATAATAGGGTACAAAATTAACAAAAAATATTCCATTGTGATACGGACTGCAGTCGTTTAATGCAGCGACTGGTAGACAGTATAAAGTGTAAAAGTTGTTTATTGGGTGTTAATCAACATTCAAAAATATTTAACGAGGTTAAAGCGCATTTACTTTCTTACCATTAGTCATGGAATTTTAAAAATTCATGAATTAGTACTTTATGGCGTTTTAGTAAGGTCCGGGTTTGCAAAACAGTGTTGACTTGTGTTTAATATAATTCTAAGGCAATATAGAGGACTAAGTGATAAAAAATTAATGGGATTTATAGATATGTTCCAGGAAAAACTGTCGATATGTCTAGGTTATCTTTACTGTTTCCAAGAAAATACTCTATAATAATAATACTCTCATGAATATATTTATTTCACATTTTAGTATAAATTAAAAATATCATCTAAACACTGTACATTAATCGGAATTCGATCTTGAGTCTTTTATTTTACCAGAAACGAAAAGCAGCCTCGCGGCTTTTAAGACAAAGTAGGTCCAAAGAAGATTTACGGTAAAGAATACCACAATCAAACAACTTATGGCATAGTAAGTAAAATGTGTACTGAAACCTGGTATCATTCTTGGAGCGTCCACTATAAAGCTACAACAAATGGTTAGTTGGCAACACTGTAACACCATCTAGTTCCAATCTTTTGTCCTCACCTTTTCATTACCCGGAACGGATGCAGTGCCAACCTTACGACTATCCACCACACTGTGAATATTAAAAACAAATACATTGAGGTTTTTTCGTAACCTAAATACTTAGCCACCCGAGACGCCTAAAATTATAAAAGTTAATAAACACAAAATCGTGTATTAGTAACGACCTCGATAATCACGTCGGACGAATCAGACATAAATATCGCCACGGTAACACATCTGAAAAAATTTGAGTACCCAGAGAGAGCTAGTAGTAATATCAAGGCCAAATGGTGGCTTAACGTCACATAAAAATCCTTCCTTTTTTCGTCTAAAGTTAGACCGATTAGTTGTGACCCAGCACATGATGCGCACACTATAAAATAGAATAAGACGTCGTTCGTAACAGTTTGGTTGGCAAGATCTCGCCTAAAAATACAGAAAAATAAAGATTTTAATTAGAAATGAAAATAAACCCACCAACACTCATCCATATCCCACAACCATGGTTTGTCCCACAACACCACGAAACCACACAGCATTTTAAAAGTGTTGTAGAAAAACTCCCACGAACTGTTGCAACATTGTCCCAAAACTGAAGGCTTAGTTTGGGCTAGTTTTAACCTTAACCAGTCTTTGATACTTTCTTCGGATATGTCGAGTTGTTTGGACAAACCCGAGATCTTTAATAGGGTTAACTGAATGAAAATTGAAACAAAAAATTACGAATACCTGGCGGCGGTCCCATTTTTTCGATCGAGAAAACTCCTTTTCTAATATTGGATTGTCTGGGGGTTTTTTCGTTGTTAGGTTTCTTAGTCCGAACCACAATCCAAGGGGTGCGAATAAAAACCTGAACGGGAAAAGATGACTGGTTGCAATGCACTAAAACGTGTGTTACCAACCTCTCTAATACAAAACGCAGCAATAATAAACCGGAGCAACCTATAATGGGGTAGACAACTAACAAAAAATGATCCATGAATAAATTCTGCGTGTTCAACTAAGTTAACGTGGTCTAACACTTTATCTAATTTAATCTGATAATATTTTATCTGTTTGATAACAGAATAAAATATTAGATGTCATATGGGGCGCACAATATGTTGGACCCGACCCTGTAATGAGGCGTCAGTTGTGCAGGCAACCAGTTAAACACCTATTAATTGAAAATTAAAACCTCAATTCTTAATCGTGGTTACAGTAGGCTATAAATTTACTAAATTTCTCTTCAACTTAGTTGATTTTACGGTTTTTGTTAAAAAAAAAGGTCCGAATTGCCCCAAATTCAAAATTCCCGCCCGCTCCTGTCACCCGTCAATCAACAATCACTCCTCGCTCTCGGCCGCTATCCACTAATCTCCGGCTAATTTCCACCAAAAATGCCCCGCTTATCGACCTCCACAACCCCCAGCCGCCCCCAGTAACCCGCCGCCCCCTCAAGCCCCCGTCCCGCTCGACCAATCAAGAGTGCCCATACCGGAAGTACGTCAAACAAATACGCATCTGCATTGACAGCCATTTTACTTCGGCGACAAGTGCGTGCATCGAGCGTATTTACAAATACGCTTATATTTTTAAGGTGTGTGACTGTGTGTGAGTGAGTGAGTATGTCGGTGGAGTACCTGCAAGTGGCCGAGGACGAGGGCGAAGAGCCCATCGAGCTCCCCACCGAGGACGACGGGACGTTGCTCCTGAGCACCCTCTCGGCACAGTTCCCGGGCTCCTCGGGGCTCAAGTACAGGAATCCCGAGACGAAAGCCATGCGTGGAGTGCGTCTGAGCGAGGGGCGGCTGCATCCGCCCCCGGAGATCGGATGGGGCTCGCAGATCTTCTACTGTGTCTTTCCGAAAGGTTGGCTTGTTTGTGGTACGGGAGGGCCGAGGGGCGCGGGGTTGGGGCGCGGAGGCGGCTGCTGGCCGATATTTGTGTTTGCAACAAGGGGGCGGGAGCTGATTTTGTTTAATAACATAGTGGGCCTTGATTTGCGTTTGTGAGGTTGGCGGAACTTGCGCCCGGATTTGACGTTTCGTCGCCAACGTGATGTCGGAGTTTTTGCAATTTTCGGGGTTTTGCGTAGGTTTTTCGCCATAAAAACTGGCGATTATTAATTTAAATCGTCGGAAGTGGCGGCAGGTGTGGGTGGTTACAGTTGTTAATACTTGTTAAATTAAGAAATTTGAGTTAAATACGCGGTGGACAATTTCCTTCCCTCGACTTTTTTTATACAGGGTGAGTCGCTAAGTTCGCGCCTCACAAATGATTTCGGCCCAGTTTTGTTTAATAAGATCATAATTGTTATTATTAGTTGGTTCTAACCGCTAATTTTTGTTGTGTCGTTTGTCAAACGTCATCGTTGTCATCCTGTTGTAGAGAATAAACGCAAGTCCGACGACAACCTAGAGAACTCAACGGCGAAAACGAAACGTATGGAGACTAAGTTGAGGTGTACAGATTTAATAGTGTTGGGCTTGCCATGGAAAACCACAGAGCAGAATCTGCGGGAGTATTTTGAAACTTTTGGAGAAGTCTTGATGGCTCAAGTATATATCTGTTTTTGAAGTGAGTTCTTGTTCTAATTGTGGTATTGTTAGGTTAAAAAAGACCCCAAAACTGGACAGTCGAAGGGCTTTGGGTTCATTAGGTTTGCTTCGTATGAATCACAGATGAGAGTGTTGGCGCAAAGGCATATGATTGATGGGCGGTGGTGTGATGTGAAAGTACCGAATTCTAAAGTAAGTTTATTTTTGTTCTTGTCGTCATGCCATGATTTTCAAAAAGACTAAGTTTTGGTTGTGCATGGAACGAATATAGTTTATCGAACAGATGGAGTGATTTTTTCCTGACCACGTTTGTGTTTTTGTTGTCTTCAGGAAGGCTTGATCCAGCAAGTGCCGTGCAAAGTCTTCATAGGCCGCTGCACTGAAGAACTGACCGCCGACGACCTCCGCGAGTACTTTGGGAAGTACGGCGAGGTCACCGACGTGTTCATCCCGAAACCGTTCCGCGCGTTCAGTTTCGTCACCTTCCTCGACCCGGAAGTAGCCCAGAGTCTCTGCGGCGAAGACCACATAATCAAAGGCGTGTCGGTGCACGTATCGAACGCCGCCCCCAAGTCGGAGACGAGAGGTGGCGGCTACGGGGGCGGCGGTCCCCGCGGCGGCAACCACGGCAATAACCGGAGCGGTCCCGGTCCCGACGGGCCCGGCATGTACCAGCAGAGGTACAACCCGGGGCCGAATCAAGGCAACTGGAACAACCAGGGGCCCAGGGGGAACATAGACATGCCCAACTTGCAGGCACTCGGTGAGTCTCGCTGCAGCCAATCCCTCAATTTGTTACCGTTTTCTCATTGGTCTAGTCAAGCTGTTAAGCCCCGCCTCCTTTGTTAACCCCTCCCCCAAACTCCCGCTCACCAAGCTCTGACGTCCGTGCAGGTAATTCCGCTTTTTCTGTTCTTACACACCTAGCCGTTAAGTTCTGTTCAGTGATTGTAGGTTGATGGTTGTTTTTTTGAAGAATTTTGTGTTTGGTAGTTGTGGCACTTGAATGAGTTGTAGTTTGGTCACGTAATAAAGTGTTTGATGTTTGAATGATGGTTACTAAAAAAAGGAGAAAAGAAAATTGATGAATGTGATGCGGTTCTGTAGGTATAACCGGTCAAGGGCAGCAGAGTAGTAACCAGCAAGGTTGTAACCCACTCGGTTTGGGTTTGAATTTGAGCGCTTTACCAATGAATCCCGCTCTGGTCGCTGCCGCATTGAATCAAGCCGGCTGGGGGCTTATCGGTAATTTGCAGAATCAACCCGAACCTAATTTCAATCAGGGTTTCAACAACGGCCCCAACAATAACAGCGGTAAGGGTTCAGTACACTGTTGCTTGGACGGGTTGTTCGAAGGGTTTGTTGAGGCTCTACCGTTATCGAAATTACTAAATTATGCGGCTAAAACTTAAAACGAGCACGAAAGTTGAACTCCATCTGTTCGGTAAACGAACTATACTTTCGCCAGTGCTAGTGTTAAATCGAACTTGTGCGACCGTTGCTGGGTTAGAAGCAATCCGATTGGCTTTTAAAATTTTGTTTTCAGCAGAAACGTGTTTTCTACGTTTCGCTGACCAAATTAATAAAAAATATGCGGTAGAGCCTCGACAGATCTAGAACTTGAACCGAATCTGCTCCGACAGTGGTAATTTAGTTGAATTTTGACGTTTCGTGTTGCAGGCAACACGCCGAACGGCAGCAACCAGGGGGGTAGCAGCAATCCGGGATTCCTGAATTGGATGAATCAGGGCGGTCAAAACCAAGATGGCGGCCAGTGGCCGAGGCCGCCCCCCCAGCAGGACCAGGCAAACAAGGGATTTCTCAAGTACGACTAAATCAAATATAGTTTATCCTCCACCCCATCCAGTAACTCTATCTCTCGTTTCCTTTTTTTTTTTTTTGGTGTTTTTTCTCTCTCGAAATCGCCACTAGTGTGTGTCTCAACTTTAAAAATAATATATACATATTTCACAGACAAGCACAGAGCAAAAGTTTCGGAAAGCGCGGCTTGTGTGAATGCGTTTGAAATTTTTCGTTTTTGACAGTGAATCATGAGGACTAGTCAATTTTTTTAACATACTCTCAGTGCGCGTTGTGCGGGATCTTGTACATATTGTGGATACTTCGGACTTTCCGGAAGATTTGCTCGTCGTAGTTTAGGTGGTAGGAACATGTAACACTTTTGTTGTTGGTACTGTTTTTATTTTTTCAACCGGATCCGGTTTCTTTAGTTTTATCCTTTCTACCAACAGCGTGCATCACGACGTTTGGATTTTCTCGACGTAAGATTTTTACTAAAAGTGAAGAAATGTATCGTGACTGTATTTTATGCGCCTGTTTATTCTGTTTGACTGGGTTTTTTAAAAATGTAAAAGAGGTGATCTTATTATATGAGTGCAGATGATCTGTGTTTTGTTTTTATTTTTTCAGAAAAATCCCTGTGACTGTAGTAGCGAGCGCAACGCTAACTAGCGGGAGAAATGTGCACGCGGGCTGTTTGATACGTTTCACACCCGTGCAGATTTTTCCCTAGATACGCTTAATCGTGTGCGCGAGCTCTCCTCTCTTCCTGTCTCTTAAGTATCATACGTTAGTTTGCATGAAGAGACTAAAAGACTACTGTTAAAACAGAGTGGTTTAAAAGTGTGGTGAATGGTAAGGAACTGTCTAAACGTTGAGTGCTGAGTGCGTCTTTTTTTTGTGTAGTCATTTGCTTAAATGGGGGACGAATGGTGGAACATGCGGGGTGTGAAGACGTCTGACTGAGTAAGTTTGATTCAAATTTATGGAACATTAATACACTTGGTTTTATTGACGATAAGGGGGGCAACCCCACACGAAACACTCGTTAAGTTTGGACGCTTTCACCTACTAATTCTCTTTTTGTGTAGGTTCCTGGGATTGGTGTTGAAGAGTGGCGCGTCTGGCCGACTGAAGACTGATTTCGTTTGGAGAATTTTGAAGAAGATTTTCATAAGATTGATAATAAAATATTTGATTTTGAATAGTGTGTTTTCTTTAATGGAAGAACGAGCGTTTTGTGGATATTAATTAATTGAAGCAGACGGAAAATCGGAAGAAGAAGGTTCAAAGCAAGGTGGTACCTGTCACAAGAATAGGTTACATGTTTTGTACATTTGACGAATACATTTTTTTTTTTTACATTTTTGGTGCCGCTTTCCCAAGCTGTGATTATTGTTCTCTAGGACTGTATTCTCACTGTCTGGTGTTTGATATCGCTTTCTCTAGAACTCGGTTGTTGTTCTCTAGAAATTGATTTTCGCTATGCTGTTCGAGTTGAAAGTTATAAATTTGCTACCCAAACAATTGAAAATTTCACAATATGTTAAAAAAATTCAACTCCAATTGAGTTAACATGTTAAATTTTGGCGATTTACGGAACGTTAAATTTAGGTCAAGAATGTTTATAGCAGTAAACTTAATAAATAAATATCAATAAATAAAGAAATCTATTAATTAAAATTAATATGCGAAAGGAGCACTAGAGTACGCTAGTTTACGGTCACTTCATGGCTTACTTTTCTGTACTAAAAAAAAAGCTGTACGGAACGGTCACATCTCTTTGGAAATTAATGGATTTGGCCAAGCTCTAGGACTTAATTATTGTCTCTGAGTCACATTTGTCACTTTTCCCAGAGCTTTACTATAGCACCGTCTAGGACTTTTATACACTTGCTGTACGACTTGATTATTGCTCTTTAAGACTCGACTGTCACTATTTCTGGAACTCGACGATTGTTCTCTTCAGAATTCAGTTGATACTCTATAATATAATAATAATATCTGTAGAACTTGATTATCACTTGTTCTAGGACCTTTATTCTAGCTCTGGATAATTTTCTATTTCGCCTCTATAGGATTTGAGTATCACTCTGTAGGACTTGATTATTGGTGTTCCTTGATTTATTGTCACTACATTTACGATGTTATAGTAGGTGTTTTTACGATTTGATTATCGCTCTTTCTAGGACTCTTGTGACCGCTTTGTGTAGGTTTCGATTTTTGCCCCTATAGGACTTTCTCTCTAAAACTTGGTTATTGCTGTCTCATAATTTTTTTACTGTAATTTTTTCTAGGATTCTATGACTTTACTTATTATCGGAGGTTTTAGAACTTAATTAATTAATTAACGCTCTTTTTCTAAGGTTCTACCATCACTTTCTCTAAGACTAATATGGCTTTTTCTAGAAATTTATTGAGATCTGTACGGCTTTATTATCATTTTGTTTAAAACTGGATTATTATTATCGCTTGTTCTAGGACCCTTATTACCGCTCTAAATAAGTTTCGATTTCCGCCTCTATAGAATTTGATTATCCCTCTCTTGGTTATTGCTTTTTCTAGGACTCGATTATCGCAGTGTCTCTTGATTTTACTGTCACTATTCTAGAACTCGATGGTCGTTCTCTTTGGAACTCGGTTGTTCATTTACGATTTTATACGGTGTTTTTAGGACTTTATAATAAGCGATAGCTCTCTCTAATGATGGTCAACATTCTCTTTAACACTCCTTTCGCTCTTTCTAGGACTCTTGTTACCACTCAGTGTAGGTTTCGATCTATAGGATTTGAATATCGCTCTCTTGGTTATTGCTTTTTCCAGGACTCGATTGTCTCGGTGTCTCTAGATTTTACTGTCACTATTTCTAGAACTCGGTGGTGGTTGTCTTTAGAACTCGGTTGTTCATTTACGCTTTTATAATCGGTGTTTTTAGGACTTGATTATCGCTCTCTCTAAGGTTTGAGCATCATTTTCTTTAAGACATGCTCTTTCTAGGACTCTTGTTACCACTCTGTGTAGGTTTCGATTTTTGCCTTCATTTCTCTGTAGGACTTGCTTATTGCTCTTTCTAAGACTCGATTATCACTGTTTCTTGATTTTACTGTCACTTTTTCTAGGATTCGATGGTCGTTCTCTTTAGAACTCGGTTGTCTCCCTATGACTTAATTATCGCTGTTTTTGTGACTTGAACATCTCTCTCTCTCTCTCCCTAAGGTTTTAACATCACTCTACTTAATTATGCCTCTCTGTAAGTCTTGGTTATTTCTAGGACTCGATTATTGGTGGATTTTAGATTTTATTGTCACCAGTTCTAGAACTCAATGGTCGTTCTTTTTCGAACTCGGTTGTCCCTCGACGACTTCATAATCGGTGTTTTTAGGACTTGATTATCGCTTTCTTTAGGGTTTTGCCATCATTCTCTTAAAGACTAGTATCGCTTTTTCTAGAACTCTGATAACCGCTCTGTGTAGGTTTCGATCGTTGCCTAACTATATAGAACTTAATTGTCTCTGTGTAGGACTTGCTTATTGCTTTTTCTAGGACTCTTGTTACCACTATGTGTAGGTTTCGATTTTTGCCCCTATAGGCCTTCATTTCTCTGTAGCACTTGGTTATTGCTCTTTCTAGAACTCGATATTGCTGTTTTTTGATTTTATTGTCACTTTTTCCAGGATTCGATGGTCGTACTCTCTAGAAGTCGGTTGTCTCTCTATGATTTGGGTATCGGTGTTTTTATGCCTTCAATATTTCTCTCTCTAGGGTTTTAGCACACTCTATGAGTAATATCGCTTTTTCTAGGAATTTGTTATCGTGATCTAGAGGGTTTGATTATTACTTTCTTTAAGACTGTTTATTACTCTCTCTAGAACTCGATTATAGCTCTGTGTAAGTCTTGTTTATTGCTTTTTCTAGGACTCAATTATCGCTGTATTTTAAATTTTATTGTCACCATTTCGAGAACTCTATAATTGTTCTGTTTGAAACTTTGTTGTTCCTCTATAACTTCATAATAGGTGTTTTTAGGACTTGATTATTGCTCTCTCTAGGGTTTTGCCACCATTCTCTTAAAGATTAGTATCGCTTTTTCTATGACTCTTATTATCGCTCTGTGTAGGTTTCGATTATCGCCTATGTGGATCTTGATTATCTCTCTGTGTAGAATTTGGCTATTGCTTTTTCTAGGACTCGATTATTGCCGTTTCTTAAACTTTATTGTCACTGGGGCTTGATTATCAGTTTGTTTAAAACTGGGTTATTATCGCTTGTTCTAGGACTTTTTTTATTACCGCTCTGAATAAGTTTCGATTGCCGCTTCTATAAGACTTAATTGTCTCTTTCTGTAGGACTTGGTTATTGCTTTTTCTAGGACTCTTAGAATTTACTGTCACGATTTCTAGAACTTGATGATCTCTTTAGATCTCGGTTATCAATCTACGAGTTGATTATCGGTGTTTTTAGGACTTGATTATCGAACTCTCTAGGGTTTTGCCATCATTCTCTTAAAGATTAGCATCGCTCTTTCTAGGACTCTTATTATCGCTCTGTGTAGGTTTCGATTATCTCCTATGTAGATCTTGATTATCTCTCTGTGTAGGACTCGATTATCGCCGTTTCTTAAACTTTATTGTCACTAGGGCTTGATTATCAGTTTGTTTAAAACTGGGTTATTATCGCTTGTTCTAGGACTGTTATTACCGCTCTAAATAAGTTTCGATTACCGCTTCTATAAGACTTAATTATCTCTTTCTGTAGGACTTGGTTATTGCTTTTTCTAGGACTCTTAGAATTTACTGTCACGATTTCTAGAACTTGATGATCTCTTTAGATCTCGGTTATCAATCTACGAGTTGATTATCGGTTTTTTTAGGACTTGATTATCGCTCTCTAGGGTTTTGCCATCATTCTCTTAAAGATTCGCATCGCTCTTTCTAGGACTCTTATTATCGCCCTGTGTAGGTTTCGATTATCGCCTATGTGGATCTGGATTATCTCTCTGTGTAGGACTTGGCTATTGCTTTTTCTAGGACTCAGTTATCGCCGTTTTTTAAACTTTATTGTCACTAGGGCTTGATTGTCAGTTTGTTAAAAACTGGGTTATTATCGCTTGTTCTAGGACTTTTATTACCGCTCTGAATAAGTTTCGATTACCGCTTCTATAAGACTTAATTATCTCTTTCTGTAGGACTTGGTTATTGCTTTTCCTAGGACTCTTAAAATTTACTTTCACGATTTCTAGAACTTGATCATCTCTTCAGATCTCGGTTATCAATCTACGAGTTGATTATTGGTGTTTTTAGGACTTGATTATCGCTCTCTGTAGGGTTTTGCCATCATTCTCTTAAATATTAGTATCGCTCTTTCTAGGACTCTTATTATCTCTCTGTGTAGGTTTCGATTATCGCCTACGTGGATCTTGATTATCTCTCTGTGTAAGACTTGGCTATTGCTTTTTCTAGGACTCGATTATCGCCGTTTCTTAAACTTTATTGTCACTAGGGCTTGATTGTCACTTTGTTTAAAACTGGGTTATTATCACTTGTTCTAGGACTTTTATTACCTCTGAATAAGTTTCGATTACCGCTTCTATAAGACGTAATTATTATCTCTTTCTGTGGGACTTGGTTATTGCTTTTTCTATGACTATTGGAATTCATTGTCACGATTTCTAGAACTTGATGATCTCTTTAGATCTCGGTTATCAATCTACGAGTTGATTATCGGTGTTTTTAGGCCTTGATTATCGCTCCCTCTTGGGTTTTACAATCACTCTCTCCCAGACTTCTATCGCTCTTTCTAGGAATTTATTATCGCGCTCTGTAGGGCTTAATTATCACTTTTTGTAAGACTTGGTTATCACTCTTCTAGGATTCTATTACTACTTTTTGTAGGACTCAATTATATTTATTATTTACTGTCACTATGTCTAGAACGCGATGGTCGTTTTCTTTAGAACTCAGTTGTCACTTTTGGACTTGATGTTTTTAGAATTTGATAATCGCCGTCACTAGGGTTATACTATCGCTTTTTCTAGAAATTTATTATCGCGATCTATAGGACGTGATTATAACTTTCATCAAAACTTGGTTATTGCTTGTTCTAGGATTCGATTACCGGTGTGGGAAGGTTTCGATTATCGCCTCTATATGACTTGATTATCTCTCTGTGTTGGATTTGGTTATTGCTCTTTTTAGGACTCGATTATCGTTGTCTTTTAGATTTTACTGTCACTATTTCTGAAACTCCTTGGTCATTCTCTTTAGAACTCTACGACTTCATAATCGGTAGTTTTAGAATTTGATTATCGCTATCTGTAGAATTTTACCACCACTATCTCTCTAAGAGTACTATCGCTCTTTCTAGGACTCGTATTACCACTGTGTGTAGATTTCGGTTATCGCCTTTATTGAACTCGACTGTCTCTATGTGTAAGACTTCGCTATTGCTCTTTCTAGGACTCGATTATCGCTGTTTTTTTAGATATTACTGTCACGATTTGTAGAACTCAATGGTCGTTTCCTTTAGAACTGGATTATCACTCTACGACTTGATTATAGGTGTTTCTAGGACTAGATTGTCGCTTTCTCTGGGATTTTACCATCTCTCTTTCTAGGAATTTATTATCGCGGTATGTAGGACTTGATTATGAGTTTCTTCAAAACTTAGTTATCGCGTGTTCTAGGATTTGATTACCGCTGTGTGAAGATTTCGATTATCGCCTGTATAGGACTTGGTTATTGCTCTGTTTAGGACTCGATTATCGCTGTCTTCTAGATTTTACTGTCACTATTTCTAGAACTCGTTGGTTGTTCTCGTTAGACCTCGGTTGTCCCTCTACGACTTGATAATCGGTGTTTTTAGGACTTGGTTATCGCTATCTCTAGAGTTTTATCATCACTCTCTCTTAAGACTAGTCTCGCTTTTTCTAGGACTCGTATTACCACTCTGTAGATTGCGGTTGTCGCCTTTATTGTACATGATTATCTCTATATGTAAAACTTTCGCATTGCTCTTTCTAGGGCTTGATTATTATCACTGTTTTTTATATTTTACTGCCACGATTTGTAGAACTCGATGGTCGTGCCCTTTAAAACACGGTTATCACTTTACGACTTGATTATCGATGTTTTAGGACTAGTTTTTCGGTTTCTCTAGGGGTTTACCATCGCTTTTTCTAGAACCAATGGTCGTTCTCTTTAAAACTCAGTTGTCACTCTAGGACTTGGTTTTTTTAGGTTTTGATTATCGCGCTCAATAGGATTATGCTATCGTTCTCTCTAAGGCTACTATCGCTCTTTCTAGGAATTTATTATCGCGCTCTGCAGGGCCCGATTATCACTTTCTTCACAATTTGGTTATTGCTCGTTTTAGGACTCAGTTATCGCTATTTCTTGGACTTTACTGTCACCATTTCTAGAGCTCGGCGTTCTCTTTAGAACTCGGTTGGTACTGTACAATTTGATTGTCGATGTTTTTAGGGCTAGATTATCGCTATCTCTAGAGTTATACCATCCCTGTCTCTAAGACTACTATCGCTCTTTAGATTTCAATTATCGGCTTTATGAAACTTAATTATTTCTTTGTGTACGACTTTCGTATCGCTCTTTTTAGGAGTCGATTATCGCTGTACCTTACACTTTACTATCACTAGTTCTAGAACTGATGGTTGTTCTCTTTAAAACTCGATTGTCACTCTAGGACTTGTTAGGATTTGGTTATCTGCCTCACTAGAATTATACTATCGCTGTTTCTAGGAACTTACTATCGCTCTCGTAAGCCTTGATAATTACGTGCTTCAAATCTTGATTATCGGTCTTTCTAGGACTGGATTATCGCTATTTCTTGGACTTTACTGACACCATTTCTAGTACTCGGCGTTCTCTTTAAACTCGGTTCACACTTTACGACTTGATTATCGCTGTTTTTAGGACTTGATTATCGCTGCCTCTAGGGTTTTACCATAAATCTCTAAAACTGCTATCGCTTTTTTATGAATTTATTATCGCGTTTTGTAGGGCGTGATTATCACTTTCTTGAAGACTTGGTTATCGCTAGTTACCTCTTCTCTGTGTATGTTTCAATTATCAGCTCTGCAGGACTTGATTGTCACTCTGAAGGGCTTGGTTACTGCTCTTTTTAGGACTTAATTATCGCGGTCTCTTAGACTTTATTGTCGCTATTTCTAGAACTCGATGATCGTTATCCTTAGAACTCGGTTGGCACTCTGCGATTTGATTATCGCTTCTAGGAATTTATTGTCGCGCTCTGTGTGGTTTGATTATCGCCTGTATAGGACTAAGATTTGATTATTGGACTCTGTAGGACTCAAGTATCATTCTGTCTAGGTAAAACTCGTTTAATACTTTTTCAAATACTCTATTAGTACTTCCTAGGACTTGATTATCGCTCTCTCTAGTACTTTGTTATCGCCCTTTTTATGAGTTTACTATCGCCTTTAATACCGCTCATTACAGGGGTTGACTGTAGCGTTCTGTAAGGTTTGTTTATCGTTCTCTGTAAAACTTGTGCAGGTAGGACCGCTTTTTCTAAAATTTAATAATCGCTCTTTTTAGGACTTTCATCGTTTTCTAGTAGTCTCTGTAGAAAGTTTCCTCAAAGGCCCAAACACAATACCCGAAATAAAAAATAAAAATTTTCAGTACGTACAAATGAAACAAGGAATACAACAAATATTTTTTATTGGTTATTCCTGGTTTTTTCTATTGTGTTTGGGCCTTTGGAACTTTGTTGCTCTATTTGGAGCTGTAATCGAGTCATAGTTTTCTATAGACTTCTTTTTATGTTTAATGTTTCACTTTTTTTTGTTTTGTTTTTTTTAGTCTTTGTTAAGACTTGTATCTCTTTCTTTAGGTCTGTTGTATCTTTCACAAGGATTCTCTTTATTGCTTGTTCTAGGAATCTTTTCTATTGTTTTTTCACTATCCTTGTCTTTGTTTTGACTCCCCTTTTTTTAACTATCACATTCCCATTACCCCCCCCCCCCCACAATTGAAACTCCAATCTCTTTAAAAAAGTAAATTTATTCAAAAATTCTCTTTAATCATACAATACTTTCTTGACAAAATTCGGCAAAACGAAGGCCGCCGAGTGCACCTCGCCGTTATAATACCGCAACCCCATCTCCTCCACCTCCGTCTCGCCCACCCTGAACTTCGGCACCGCGGGATCCGCCTTCCCCGCCGCCGCCACGATGAACCCGATCTGCCCCGACGGGTACGTCGGCACGCTGGTCACCGCGTACTTGACCACCGGGAAGTGCTTCCTGCAGTGGTCCAGCGTCTCCTTCACCTTGTCCAGCTCCGTCCACACCGTCCCGTTCTGCGAGCAGATCACGCCGCCCCTCTTCAGCGCCCCCTTGAGCAGTCGGAAGTACGACTCGGTGAAGAGGTTGACGGCCGGCCCGATGGGGTCGCTCGAGTCGGTGATGATGACGTCGAACTCGTTCTTGTGCTCCTCCATGTACTTGAAGCCGTCGCCGATGGTGAGCGTGAGCTTGTCGCTATCGAAGCCCTGGGCCATGAAGGGCAGGAAGCGCCTGCTGGCGTCCACCACCTTGGAGTCGATCTCCACCTGGACCACGTGCTCGACGAGCGGGTGCTTGTGGCACTCGCGGGCCACGCCGCCGTCGCCGCCCCCGACGATGAGCACGCGGGAGGGGGCGGGGTGCGCGCACAGCGGGAGGAAGGAGATCATCTCCTGGTAGGAGAATTCGTCGTGCTCGGTGCATTGGATTATGCCGTCGAGGATGAGGGCCCGGCCGTGGTGTTTGCTGCGAACAAAGAGTTTTTTAAATTAATTAAGTGATAACTGATTAATAACTTAGGGAAAACCTTGGAGAGTTGGCCTTAAAAATTCGCGGACAAACACAGCATAATCCAGCCGCTGTTAAATTTACCGCTGCGCCAGCAGTCATCACAAAGTAAACAACACCTCACCCGACCTTGATTTACTAAACGTGGACACATCCAACCCAAAAAAAAAACACACAGACAAACACTTACGTCTGCAGAACTAGCACGTCTTGGAAGTCGGACTTCTCATTCAGCAGGACCTCTTCCACTTGAAGGCTCAGGCACTGGCCGGGCCATAGTTCGTTAATTTCGCTGAACCATCCGTTCCTGATCTGATCCATCCCGAGCACCGCACAGAAATGAGAGTAATTTTTAAAAATTCCGCTTTGTATACGAGTTTTCTTGAACTTTATCGCCTCGTAGCACACATAAACATGATACGAGTTCAAGGTCGCCAGCCCCATGAATTATGTTAATGTGTTCGGTCAATGGTAATGAGAGTGATAACGATAATGGGCATTGATTGTTTTTGATAAGGCTGTTTGTTAGAGGATGCGGGTATCTGGTTGGATAGGTTGGTTTCTATGGAAATTTTCGGCTGGGCAGAGGTTGTGAGGGTTTTAGGGGTCCAAAGTGTCTTGGATGCAGATATGGAGAGTAAATTGTAGATTAGTTGTTGACTGCATGCTTAATATAACTTGTGATAACGAGTTATCTTTTATGAATGGATTTTGTGATGCATGGTTTGTGGAAATGTTATTTTTAAATACCGAAAATTAATTATTAATTAAACTAAGAATTTTTTATTATTTTATTTTTTATTAAATCGTTAAGCCTACCTGTTTTCAAAAATGTAAAATGTAAGATTTTTAGAAATCTTAGATCTTTAAAGATAAAATTTAATTGCATAAAAATGTTTCCAGAATTTAGAATTTTTCAGATTTTTTTTGTGTAAAATTGTAGAAAATGTAAGTGTTTTTTTATTTCTGAAAATTCCAGAGATCTAGAAATTGTAGTAATCTTTACAGCATGCCTCCAAGGTGTCCAAAATTCGCGCTTTGTTTAAAACTATTTTTTTTATTTTCAACTTTCAACATTTTTGACGATTTTTGGAATTTTTTAGAATTTTAATTTTTGACGTTTTTACAATCGTATTTTCTACGATTACTCTGTGCAGCATCAAAAGTGCTAAAAGTAATTGACTGTAAAACTCATAAAATGTAATCAACTTTAAAATTTTGAATAGGTTAACCACTGTTCCAAAATTTTCAAGGCCCTAAAAATTCTAATAAGCTCTACCTCCTGGACATGTTAAATTTTTAGGGACGTCTTATTTATTATTATCAGTTTTGGCAGTCTTTGAAATTTTGTAAAATTTACGATTTTCAATTTTCAAAATTTTTTAAGATTTTTGAAGTTAAAAAATTTTAATTTTTGAAGTTTTTGCAATCATATTTTCTATTAATAGCTTGTGTAATACGGGAAGCACTAAAAGTATTAGACTATAACATTTGTAGAAATATATTATAATCAGCTTTAAAATTTTAAATGTGTAGATGACGGTTCCAAAATTTTCAAGGTCTTGCAAATTTTAATAAACTTCAATTCCTAAACATGTTAAATTTTTAGAGACGTCGTATTTATTACGATCAGTTTTGGCAGTCTTTGAAATTTTGGAAATATACATACGATCTAAAAATTGTAAAATCTTAAAATCTGCAAAAATTCTTCTATTTTTTTAAAAACAAAACCTCAGGAGCCTTAAAAATTCTTTCAAATTGTTTCCAAGACGAACACCAAGAGCCCTAAAGATTCTTTTAAACTTGTTCGAAATCGAAAATCCGAGGAGCCCTAACGATTCGTTTAATCTTTGTCGAAAACGAAACACGAAGAGCTCCCAAGATTCTTTAATTTTTTTCGAAAATGAAACGCCAGGAGCTATTAAGATTCTTTTCAATTTTTTGGAAAACGAAACATCAAGAGCCCTGAAGTTTCTTTCAAACTTTTTTTTTTAACAAAATACCAGAAGCCCTAAATATTGTTCTAATCTTTCTCCAAACCGAAACACGAATAGCCCTCAAGATTCTCCGATTTTTTTCAAAAATGACAAAACCAAAAACCAAGAGCTCCGAAGGTCCATTAAAACTTTTTCCAAAAAAAAACAGGAGGAGCCCTTGAGATTCTTTTAAATTTTTTCGAAAAAGAAATACCTGGAGCTCTTTTGTAAAGTTTTTATTTAACTTTTTCGGAAAAAAAACACCAGGAGCCCTAAAGATTTCTCTAACCTTTTTCCAAACCGAAATACGAAAAGCCTTCAAGATGCTTCTAATTTTTTCGAAAATGAAACACCAGGAGCTGATAAGGTTCTTTTCAGTTTTTTCGAAAACGAAACACCAAAAACCTTGAAGGTTCTTTTAAACTTTTTTTTTTAAACCAAACACCAGGAACCTTAAAGATTTTTTTTAAGATTTTCGAAAAAGAAACACGAGGAGCCCTCAAGATTTTTTCAAATTTTTTCTAAAAAAAAAAACACGAAGAGCCCTCTAGATTCTTTAAATTTTTTCGAAAATGAAACACCAGGAGTTCTTCAGATTCTTTTCATTTTTGTTCGAAAACGAAACACTGAGAGCCCTGAAGGTTCTTTTAAACTTTTCCTAAAACAAAACACCAGGAGCCCTCAAGATTCTTTCAAATTTATCGAAAAAAGAACAGGAGCCCTTGAGATTCTTTTAAATTTTTTCGAAAAACAAATACCTGGAGCTCTTTTGTAAACTTTTTATTTAACTTTTTCGGAAAAAAAAACACCAGGAGCCCTAAAGATTTCTCTAACCTTTTCCCAAACCGAAATACGAAAAGCCTTCAAGATGCTTCTAATTTTTTCGAAAATGAAACACCAGGAGCTCATAAGGTTCTTTTCAGTTTTTTCGAAAACGAAACACCAAAAACCTTGAAGGTTCTTTTAAACTTTTTTTTTAAACCAAACACCAGGAACCTGAAAGATTTTTTTTAAGATTTTCGATAAAGAAACACGAGGAGGTCTCAAGATTCTTTCAATTTTTTTCGACAACGAAACACCAAGAACCCTAAAGATTCTTTTAAATTCTTTCGAAAACGAAATACCAGGAACTCTTATGATTCTTTTAAACTTTTTCGGGAAAAAAACATCAAGAGCCTTCAAGATTTTTTCAAATTTTTTCTAAAAAAATATACGAAGAGCCCTCAAGATTCTTTAAATTTTTTCGAAAATGAAACACCAGGAATTCTTAAGCTTCTCTTCATCTTTGTCGAAAACGAAACACTAAAAGCCTCGAAGATTCTTTTAAACTTTTCCTAAAACAAAAACCAGGAACCCTCGACATTCTTTCAAATTTATGGAAAAAAGAACAGGAGCCCTAAAGATTCATTTAAATTTTTTCGAAAATGAAAAGTCGGGAGCTCATTTGTTAAGTTTTTTTTTTTAACTTTTTCGGAAACAAAACTCCAGAAGCCCTAAAGATTCTTCAAACCTTTTTCCAAACCGAAACACGAAGAGCCCTCAATATTCTTTAAATTTTTTCGAAAATGAAGCACCAGGAGCTCTTAAGATTCTTTTCAGTTTTTTGGAAAACGAAACATCAAGAGCCCTGAAGGTTCTTTCAAACTTTTTTTTAACAAAACACCAGAAGCCCTCAAGATTTTTTAAAAGGTTTTTCGAAAAAGAAACACGAAGATTTGATTATTCTTTTAACTTTTTTCTAAAATCAAATACCGGAAGCTCTTTATTAAGTTTTTTTTTTTAACTTTTTCCGAAACAAAACACCAGGAGCCCTAAAGATTCTTTATATTTTTTTCGAAAACGAAACACCAGGAGCCCTAAAGGTTTTTTAAAAGTTTTTCGAAAAAGAAATACGAGGAGCTCTCAAGATTCTTTTAATTTTTTTCGACAACGAAACACCAAGAACCCTAAACATTCATTTAAATTCTTTCAAAAATGAAAAACCAGGAGATCTTAAGGTTCTTTTAAATTTTTTCGAAAACGAAATACCAGGAGTTCTTAAGGTTTTTTTTAAACTTTTTCAGAAACAAAACATCAGAAGCCCTCAAGATTCTTTTACATTTTTTCGAAAATCAAATACCGGAAGCTCTTTATTAAGTTTTTTTTTAACTTTTTCCGAAACAAAACACCAGGATCCCTAAAGATTCTTTAAATTTTTTTCGAAAACGAAACACCAGGAGCCCTAAAGATCCTTCTAAATTTTTTCGAAAACGAAAAACCAAAAGTCCTGAAGGTTCATTTAATATTGTTTTTAAACAAAACAGCAAGAGCCCTCAAATTTCAAGAGGGAACCCTAAAGACTTTTTTAAAGATTTTCGAAAAAGCAACACGGCAAGATTCTTTCAATTTTTTTCGGGAACGAACACCAAGGGCCCTAAAGATTCTTTTAAACTTGTTCGAAAACGAAATCCCAGGAGCTCTAAAAATTCTTTTAACCTTTCTCGAAAATGAGACACGAACAGCCCTCAAGATTCCTTAAATTTTTTCGAAAATGAAACATTGGGAGTTCTTGAGATTTTTTTCAATTTTTTCGAAAACGAAACACCAAGAGCCCTGAAGGTTCTTTTAAACTTTTTTTAAAACAAAAGACCAGAGCCTTCACAATTGTTTTCAAATTTCAATGGTGCTAAATATTCTTTTAAACTTTTTCGGAAACTAAACACCAGTAACCCTAAAGATTTTTTTAAAGTTTTTCGAATAAGAAATACGAGGAACTCTCAAGATTCTTTTAATTTTTTCGACAACGAAACACCAAGAACCCTAAATATTCATTTAAATTCTTTCAAAAATGAAAAACCAGGAGATCTTAAGGTTCTTTTAATTTTTTTTCGAAAACGAAATACCAGAAGTTCTTAAGGTTTTTTTTAAACTTTTTCAGAAACAAAACATCAGAAGCCCTCAAGATTCTTTTAAATGTCTTCGAAAATCAAATACCGGAAGCTCTTTATTAAGTTTTTTTTTTTTAACTTTTTCCGAAACAAAACACCAGGATCCCTAAAGATTCTTTAAATTTTTTTCGAAAACGAAACACCAGGAGCCCTAAAGATCCTTCTAAATTTTTTCGAAAACGAAAAACCAAGAGTCCTAAAGGTTCATTTAATATTGTTTTTAAACAAAACAGCAAGAGCCCTCGAATTTCAAGAGGGAACCTTAAAGACTTTTTAAAGATTTTCGAAAAAGAAACACGAGAAGTCTTCTAGATTCTTTCAAATGTTTTCGGAAACGAACACCAAGGGCCCTAAAGATTGTTTTAAACTTGTTCGAAAACGAAATCCCAGGAGCTCTAAAAATTCGTTTAATCTTTCTCTAAAATGAGACACGAACAGCCCTCAAGATTCCTTAAATTTTTTCGAAAATGAAACTTTAGGAGCTCTTGAGATTGTTTTCAATTTTTTCGAAAACGAAACACCAAGAACCCTGAAGGTTCTTTTAAACTTTTTTTAAAACAAAACACAAAGAGCCTTCACGATTGTTTTCAAATTTCAATGGCGCTAAATATTCTTTTAAACTTTTTTTGAAACTAAACACCAGTAACCCTAAATATTTTTTTAAAGATTTTCGAAAAAGAAATACGAGGAGTTCACAAGATTCTTTTAATTTTTTTCGACAATGAAACGCCAAGAACCTTAAATATTCATTTAAAT